TCATCCATATGTTTTTGAGTAAAAACTTGGAGCAACTCTTTAAACTTCTTTTCCTTTGATCTTATTACTGGTTTGCTGAAACTTTTCAAGTTTGGAACTGTATTTGTGTTTACATCATTTGAAATTTACTCCAAGTCACCTTCTGATGCTCTTTGAGTATCTTGAGTATTTTTAACCTTATTTACATCATACTATATAATATATACATATAATACAATTTAATTGGTGAAGGTATAGCCTATAAATGTTATTAAATAGTATATTTAATAGGTATATTTGATATATTATATGCACGGTTAGATGAAAAATTTCTTTTTTTTTTCATGTTATAACTATAATGATTTAACAACAAACTAAAAAAATTTTTATTTTGAGCAAAAAATAACCTTTAATATACTTAATTTATAAATTTTATTAATTTAGTAAGAGTCAATGTTTATATACTCTTAATTACTAACAATTACTACGACCATGTTTTTTTCTAAAAATAATTGAAATGTTGTATATTTACTTAATTATCAACCTATCTTTTTCTTTTGTGATGGAATTATTAATCCATCTTAATTTCATATACATATACACACACAGATATATATATATATATATCTAAAATTAGATATAGTTTATGTTTTCAAATTTTTAAGGGAGAAATATTCTACTTTCTTCTTTTATTTATAGATTAAAATTTATAAACTTTCATTTGTAGAATGATTAGTTATTTCTAAGTTAGGTATTAATTTAATGAAAAGGATCAATGAAAAAGTTGATAATAGTAATAATACATATATATACTACAAGAGTAGGCAGAAGAAAAAGAGAGAGAGAAAAAGTTGGGAATGAATATAAATAAATATTATAGAGAAACTTGTAGCGAAGAAAAGAAACAATTAGATTTCTTGGTCCAAAGTGAAATTACACTCATGACATGACGATCTACTAAACAAAAACCTAAACCTGTGCCAATGGACACACAGATGGTTTGGGCCTTGTTCAAGTTCTGATCCTTTATTATATTGAAACTTTCCCTAACCCATAACGAAAAGCAGAAAATGAAATCATCAACGGTTCATCATTATGTTCAAGCATGAGCCGTTTCATTGCCATGGTGGCCGATGACTGCGTCATCAGGAATATACTTCGCCCAGAACCAGTGTTCCTTCCAAACTCCACTCATTTCTTCAATTGGGATTCCACGAGTCTCTGGTAAGAAAAAGTGGACGAAGATGGTCATGATCACCACCATGCCAGCAAAGAAGAAGAAGAGACCGAATTTCATGTGACAAAGCATGGTGAGGAACAACTGTGCGATGAAGAAAGTGAAGATCATGTTGACTGATACGTTAATGGATTGACCAGCTGATCGAATCTCCAGAGGACAGATTTCACTTGGTACAAGCCAACCCAATGGACCCCATGACCATGCAAATGCAGCAACAAACACGCAGACCAAGAACAAGATCAAGTCTGCGTCGGTTTTTGTCAAGATGCCTTGGCCTTCTAGTCCGAACTTCCAACCAATCAGAGATCCCACTGCGATCTGCATTATCACATTAATTAATTACATAACATGAGGATTTAAACAAATATATTGATTTAAGTAAAGTAGAGTTAGTATTGTACCTGAGAAACAATCATTTGGATGCCACCTTCGAGGAAAAGAATCTTTCTTCCGTACTTATCGACGCAGACAATGGAGACAATTGTGGCGAGCACATTAACACCTCCAGAAATGACAGCGGAGAAAAGAGAAGCTTCGTCTCCGAATCCAAGAGTCTTGTAAAGAACAGGAGCGTAAAACATGATCATGTTAATACCAGTGAGTTGTTGGAAGAAAGGGATGAGTGAGCAAAAGACGAGTTGAGGTCTATATTGGGGTTTAACAATATTCATCCATGGATGCTGCACTCTTCTTGCAGCTTCACTGGCTTCGAAAAGATCCTGAAACTCCTCCTCAACATTGTCTATTCCACGAATCTTCTGCAACATTCTCTTGGCTTCCTCCGTTTTGCCTCTTTCGAGGATGGAGTTGGGAGTATCGGGTAAGAAAAGAGATCCCACAACCATCATCACAGCAGGAACTGCTGCTAGACCAAGAGATACTCTCCACCCTGTTCCGTTCTTGATGTTTGGAGTGAAGTAGTTCACAAGGTTTGCTACCAGAATGCCAATGGTGATAGCCATTTGAAAACCGATGTTAAGTGATCCTCTGATCTTTGCTGGTGCCATTTCTGACAGGTAAACCGGCACAGACTGCATCCATTCACAAAACTCAGAACTACAGTTTCTTATAAAGGAAAAAAAATGTATAATAATTGTATACAAAACTCAGACCTGATTGGCGAATCCGACGCCGACACCGAGCAAGAGACGACCGATGATGAGCATCTCGACATTCATGGCAGCGCCATTAAGAATGGCACCGGCAAGAAAAGCAAGGCCTCCGATGAACATTGATATTTTTCTTCCAAAAGTCCTTGTTACAGTTGAGGCGAAGAAAGAAGCCACCAGTGCAGCAAGGTAGAGGGAAGAGGTGAACAAAGTCAGCATTTGATTATCAAATTTACAGTACTCTGTCTCACGCATTGTTTTATCGTTCATTTGTCTCAAAACTTCTGGGAAGAACTTGGTTAAGAATTCTTCCATTGAGGTCACTCCACCTGCATTTTACAACATTAAAAATAATTCATTCCATATATGCATAAACCCACATACAGATCCACAAGATCATATATATATATATATATATATGTATATGTATATTACCTGAGATACCAAGATCATAACCAAAGAGTAGACCTCCCATGGCGGCTACAAGGCAAGTAGTGATGACAAAGGTAGTAACACCACCTTCATAACTCCCAGAACCGCCAGAAACAAATCCTCCGCCCGCCATATCTTCGCAAACTCAATATTCAAGTAAATATTAAATGATTAATTATTTAAAGTTGAAATAATCAATCAATCTTCTTTCTTCCTTTTTCCTTTTGAAATCCTTTTATCTGGTTTTGTTCACCTCTAAGGTGGGTAAATTGGAGATAATGATATAGATAAATGTAAGATTTTAATGGTGTAATTTCCACTTTACATCCACCAAAAAAGAAACTGTACACCGTAATAAAAAAAAAGAAAGGAAAAACCCAGATATACACTCTCTTCCCTCTATGTCACCTGGTGACCTCGCCTGTTTTTCCATGGAGAAAAAGCTCAGTTTTATACTATGTTTGATTAACTGTTTGGCCTGCAAAATCGCACCAGACTCAATTTTTTGTACGAGATGATTGGATCAGGGTGTTCACTTTCACTTGCTCCTAGCCATTGGTTATCATTTTTTCAGGGAAAATAACCAAGTTTAGCCTTCTCATCCACGCAGACTTGGTAGGATATTGACATGGTCAACAACATTGCACCATTAAACTTTATCATTAATGATTTGTGCATGAGTCATATATCCTTCATGGATATTTAAATCCATATGTATAATATTATTGTTAAACTTTGATCATTTTATCCTTCCCATCTTAATTTTATCTAATAGATAACTAATGACAGATAGGAATACAGCAAACATAGACATCTACAAAATAACAAAACACCCAGCTATATATGGAATCGTATATATCCATTTGCTTTTTTTTTTTTTTTTTTTTTCTGTGGAAAGAAACCAAATTAAAGCTGTGGAATTATATGTATCCTGAAGTAGTTTTTACAATAATTGTCTGTATAAATATAGATACATATATTTATGTACATATATATATATATATATACATATGGGATCTCTAAACTTGTGAGTTTATTAAATATTCCATTAGTACAAATGAGATGAATTAGCATAGTGCTTCATGAATGTGATTTATTCATCTGATTATTCTAAATATTTGTCAACAAATTATGCTCTCAAAGCAGCTAATCATATATTAAAATTTTATCCGATATATTGTTTGCTTATATTCCTAAAAAATGAAATAATAAGAAAAACCATTTACTTTATGGACTTTGATCCATAACTTCATAGCTTTTATCCTCTTAAGAATATAATAACATATCAGAATCAATGTCTAATTATGGTATAAATATACATCAATTTCTTGTAATTTAAATTGTATAATATGTCTGTAAATAGTGATATTGCAAGAAATAAAATTATTCAAATTTTATTTCAATTAATAACATAACATCAGAGCCAAACTTTAAAACAATATTTTCTTCACTTTCATCTGCTCATATCAATTTATCCATGCCCTCTACTCCCTCTACTTAACTATGCTCTCAATTCAATATGCTATCATTCATTCTCTATTAGACTTATACCTCCACCAACTATCCTTTATGAAATTTATCATTATACGTAAATTTATCTATAATAACGTACCAACAGAAGTCTTGCTTGACCGCCTAATTAATGGCTTATGAATGGTTCTGAATTGATTGGTAGAGTAGCTACTTGGAGCTATACAAACGAAAAGAGCCCATTAATAAAAGTATATATAAATAGAATTTCGTTTTCATAGATTGTTACTATACCGACGGCTAATTATACTCTGTCAAAGTCTTCAAACATGTTCTTTGCTATTCAAATATCTTTATGTGGTCTATCTCAAGTCTGTGACTTGTAAATAGAGGAGATGGTGGCTTATTAATTTGAAATTTATAATTTTATGATTTATGTTTTTTATATTTTTTATTATCTGTGCTTCTTTTGCTTTATAATTTTTGTGTTATTTTCTCATGGAATAGATTGGAATTAGGAGCCATTTTTGCTTAATTAATTTCTAACCCTATTCTTTTCAATTTCTCTTG